AAAATGAGGAAAAAGAGGAAGCCTTAGCCGCCTCGGCTAATGAGACTAGGCCCTCCTTTGGTTAGTTAGTATCCATTTCTTTGTTACTGTCTTAATAACATGGCCAAAAATTGAGGTTCATATCCTGGACATATTCTTGCTCCATACTTGCAACCTGTTTCATCACCTCCCGATACTTCGTTGGGCACCTCTGAACGAACTTATTAAAATCATGTAAACCGATTATTTTTTTCCTGTTAAGTGCATCTGATTCTGAAAGAGATTAGATCCTTGATTCAAGTTCCTAGGCAATGAGCTTTAGAAAATTTGAGTCCTATCTTGGTCTATGCTTTATATGGAAATAGCAAAGATAAAAAGATCGGCCCATTGATGCGTTTCAGAGTTTCTCTTTGGATCATCAGCTTCATTGTAACTTGCTAGGCCCAGGTGCACTTTCATTTCAAGCTAAGAGTAAGTCAACTATCTTGCGTAATATTTTTAGGCCAAATCCCGCATATTGCGATGATATAAACGTAGCTTCTACAAAGAATTTTTGCTTATAATAACTATGAGCTGGAAATGGCTAATATCAAATTAGGATACGTTGAATCAACACTGATATTAGGCCTGCCTAATAGGATAAAATTATTGCGCTTGTAGAAAAAGAGTACATTAGCGTCTTCATGAATGTTCTGCCTAAAATATTGAAGAACATTTTTGGCAAATTAGGAAGAAACAAAACCTTATGATATACATATGTATATTAGCTTCATCTGCTGATAGCTCGATAAAAAAGGTCTTCGAAGGACATAATGACTATTGCGTCATCTTTCATTGTGTGAGGCTCTTGCAGCACAGGACTGCCGACTAGATATTGTGCCAGACGTTTCGTTGGTTTGTCACAGCAGTGTTAACACCACGAGGCTATTACTTACTTTTCATTCAGACAAGTTTAAATTCGGTGCCTTGGATAGTGCTGATCTCTGAAGCCACCGACGGAATATTCGGCATTACACTCTGTCAGCATTTATATGCTGCAAGGAGACATAATAGTGGCAGATGATG